AGCTGTTATTATATTTTAATAAACATCTTTTGATGTTTTAAATTTGTACGTTTTCATACATCTCAGACTGAAAGGTTTTACTTCACTATTTGCCAATGGATACAAAAAGAAAAACTTTCACTCAGTGGAAGTATTCCAAATACATCAAAATTAAACCTTTGCTGTAAAATATTTAAGTTGATACTGATAGGAGTTTAGAACATTTAGATAAATTCCCCAAACCTGAATTTTTAAATTGTCTTGGGTCCAACACCAAGCACCCACAGAGCAATTATTTATTTATTTATTTATTTTTAAATAGAGGTAGCTATGCCTTTTGTTGACTCAGTTCTGAAGCTGACGTTGTCACACTACTCATTAATGTGATTTTGTATAAACTGAGAAATCTGCCTACTGTCACAGCAGATGTTTCAGTCATAATAACTAAGGATGCAGAGGATATCTGGGCTTCAACTGAACTGTTATAAATGCTATTTATACATTCCAAATGGCTCCATACAAAAATGTGGAATGGAATTACCAGCCTCAGTTCTTTCCCTTGGTACACCAGGAGTCTGATAGTAACATTCAGAAGAAAGTACACCTCAGTAAAAAGTATATAAGTGTCACATGGCTTGTAAGACCTAGTCATGTGATCTTTCTTGGTACTAAGACATACTGCATTGAGTTCACTGGCTATGAAACTAGAGAGCCTTGCTAATGCATTTGTTATCTTTTTCATGTACATATGTATAGCCACAGTTGAAGAGAGAAGCACTCCTGCAACATCAGATTCTGAATTTGACCTTAATACTTATTATTTGCTTTTTTAGACGGAGCTCAAAGGAAATGGAAATATAAAGAAGAGACTCCCTTCAATTGTAGAAGATGAAGAAGATGATGATGAAGGAGAAGAAGAGAGCAGCACACTTTCACCAATCCATACAAGAAGCACAACTTGCGCTCAACAGAAGAAAGCTGGAAACAATAAAAGCCACCTGGGGAGGAACTTGAAGCAGTTGGCCTCAGGAACAGTGCCCTTCCATTCACCCATTCGTGCTTGCAGTTCTAACCCCTCAAGAACCAAACATGAAACTGAGCTCCATTACTATTCCAAAAGGAAGGAGAAAAACCTTAAGTTACACCTTTCAGCACTGAATGCTGGTGGCCCACCAGACCTGAGCCCAAGGTAATAGTTAGGAATGATTATTTTTTCCATACCACATAACTTCTATTAGATATATAATCACTGTAACGATTAAAAAAAAAAATCAAAACAAAATACTTGGTATTCAAAATGTTAATACTTTTTCAATATGTCCATATTTTGTTCATCCCGCGGAGAAGGAATAGTCTTTTCATTGTAGAAACTATTGAACACTTTAGGACTTCTTTGCAAGATAAAGAGTTTCTGTGAGCAAAAAGGGAAAGTACTGAGCAATTATAAAAATGACTATTTTAATAGTCTGGTTTTATAGTATCATTTTGTCCATCTATAATAATCTTTATTCCCACAGTAACACTGTAAAGCATACTCAGTCCATCAGAGGTATAGTAATTTAGGAAGCAAGTTGATGATAAGGTGGCACAGCTGTGCAAATACAAAAATTACTGGAGCAGAGACTATAATGGGAAACTATTGCCTAGCAATTTTAGAAAATATTTAGAGTTTTTTTACATTAGATAAAGAAAACCTGACAATACAAGTTACGTATAAAGTAAACATGGATTTGAGAAAATCTGTTTTGCCATGAATTTTGACATAAAGTCATATAATGCTTTTTGTGGTATTAAGCATATAATTAAAAAAATGCTTTTATGTTATTTGTAAGATAATTTATTTTTTCTTAGTTCTAAATTCTTGCAATATAATCATTAACTGTTAATAAAATCAAGAGTTTTAGGATCTTTTCATCACCAAAATCAATATCACTTTTTTGACATATGAAGAACAACAGGAGGTGATTATTCAGTTCAAGTTTCAGTTTCTATAAGTTTAGGTATTTCACATGTTCAAGAACTTCTTTATTCATGATAGGCAGAATGGTATTTTCACCAGCTTGCCTTTGTAGACATGAAAGAACCATAGTTTGACCAATATTTATTTATTTCTAAGACACCTGTCCATACAGATGCAATAAAAATAGTTACACATTTAAGAGTATATAACAATCTTTTTATATACATATATAATATATAACAATCTTTTCCCCTCATCATATATTTTATCTATATAATCACATTTCAAATAGAAGTATACAAACTGCCAATACAAGGAAAAATAATATATGAAAAACTAACTTCTACATGAGCAAAACTGAAATGCATAACAGATATTTTCTCATTTCTTCCTTGGATCTCATGTGAGTCTGCTTCAAGTCAGCTATGACAGATGGTTATTTGCATAAAAAAAGGTAATTCTGGGGAAATACACCTTTCATATTTTCTGCTGAACTGCAATTTTGCTCCTTATTTTTCTGAGCATATGCATCCAGACATTGGCACTCAAGGCTGTAAGAGCAAATGTGAAACAAGTGTTGTTACATGTGTTATTATTTATTAATTATTTCAATTCATAATTTCTAACTCCAGAATAATCCTAATAGGCTAGAAAATTGTCTCATGATGTAAGTGGTTTGCAGACTTTTTCAGCTAAAAGACTTTCATATTATTTCCCCAAATTGGTTTACATTATTAGAACATTGAAACTGACTGGTTAAAAGCACTTTAAAAAGAGCTTCAAATATTTTTTAGCATATATGAAAGAGAAAATAAGATCTTTTAATTAAGAGCCTCACTTTTATTTGCTGTTGTACAGTGGTGTAAGGGTGTAAGATACTGGTTTGATCTGAAATGTCCAGTCAATGTAGTGGGGAGGTTAGTAACCTCACTTTTCAAAAGAATGCACTTTGTCTTATACTTTTTCTGTGCATGTTCCCTAGAGCAAGCGAACAAGAATTTCTCAGTCAGTTCAGTTTTTTTCTTTGACGTTATAATGAAGGCAGTAGACAAAACATACAGAGACTGGTTAAAACGCTGAAATAGTCCTGGACAGAAGAAATAGAACTCAACATCATAACTTCCAGGATACAGTCTTAATCTTCCTTTTGCATTCTGCATTTGAAGTAGAGTATCAAAAGGAAGAAAGCCTGGGAGGAATGCCTGGGAGGAAGCATTTATGCATTTGAATCTCCTCAAATCCATATTGTCAACAGTACTCTGGCCCTGACCAACTAGATAGAAGAAGTCACATATTAGTCTTTTTTTGACTTTTTGGTTTCTAGGAGTTGTGATATCTGTCTTCAGGAGGAAATTCAGGGCTGTAATAGCTAATTCTTAAAGGGGAGAGATTTTTGAGCCTATGTGTTTTCTATTCTCTGGATTGTTACTCCACATTCCAGTTGCTTGTTTATGAATAAGCATCTTTCTCACTATATTTTTACTGAGGCCTGTCTTGTAGCATTCCAGAACTAGCTATTTTTGTTAATATATTTTCCTTTAAGTCTGTATCATTAAACACTTTAAAGAATACAGCAGCTATAAATTCCAAGTCACGTCTGTGTAGTTTTTCCCGTGTGCTTTGAAGGCAGTTGAAATGTTAGCATTTGATATAATTAGAAATCTTGACAAAAGGGATATCAGTGTTTAAAGTTTGCTTTTTGAAGCAGTGAGGCCAGATGACATTAAATAGATTTTATAGCAAATTCCAAAGTAATCATTCAGGTTTTCAGCTGCAGGTAATGGTATAGTCCAGAATAGCCAAGGCACCACATTTGAGCCTCATCTTTTCCCAGAGGCTGGTTAAAATTAGAGTGTAATTTAACAAAATCCAGCTGGCATCATGAACACTAAAGCATGACACAAAGCCCTAAGCCCATGTGAAGAAACAGGACAAGAATATATACATATATATATATATGTATATATATAAAAGAATATATGTACAGTATGTATACAGAACTATTCAATTTACAGAGGTCTTTCATCTGTGATGTATTTGATTTGTATTTATCATATCTTTGGCTGTGTTTTACAGAGATGTCATAAATATTTTTCAGGTTTAGGCACTGCCTAATTAAGCCTAATATAAGAGTGTGTTACATGCTAGAAGATTTAGACTTGATGAGAGCATAGAGAATCATCTTTAGTCTATGTTGAAGAAGATTACGGATGTAGATATGGAAATTGAACTATTCAATAAAAGCTCTGTTAGGACCTGTTATATATACAGCAAAAGTCACAACAATTTTGAAATTTCACTTAGCAATATTTGACCTCATATTCCTTCTTCTGATAGAAAAGGTAATCTATAGTGACACACAAGATATTATAAGTGTAATGCAATATTTTTTTAGATTTTTTCTAAATTTAATATAATGTAAATTTCACTATTGTTTTAAGATGTGCCTTTTAGGAGTAATTTTCACAATATAACTATGAATGTGATGTCTATGAAATGGTTTAGGAAGCTGTTCCCTTAACTCTGTTTTTTCTTACAGAATTGTTGATGGGATTGAAGATGGAAACCACAATGAGGAGAGCCAAACCTTTGACTTCAGCTCTGATCAGCTCCAGCAGGACTCCAGGGTATCTCCAACAGTTGGAGGTGAGTGTTGCTTGGGAAATCACTCTTCAGAGAAAAGAGTTTTCATAACTGCTTTTTGTACCCCTTTGTGTCTTTGATTATCAGAAGGAAAAGTCCTTACAAGCAGCATAAATTGATCTAATATGTATCTGTACTTTCAGTACTATTTCAGTACCGCACTGAACAATGTGGAAAAATACAACAGGGTCCCTAAGGACAGTTGTTTTCCTACTAACAGTCACCATAAAACAGCTTGCAAGGAGTAATATATTTTCATGAATTATAGTTTTACCATTGTAGGACCAGCCAGGAGCTTCATGCTCTGAATTTTTTGGACATGGAAGGTACTAAACACATGGACAAAATTTGATAACAATACATTTTAATAATAATTTTTTTTAAACATCGAAAAATGCAATATGCAAACTTGTCTCTCGATTTTTGTTAAAAGGATATTTACAGAGGCAAAAGGGTATGGAAGTACTTAGTGTTTCAGAAGTAGGCAGTGAAACCTTGAAGAGCAAAGGGTTTTATGCAGCCTTATATGACTTACACTCTGAAAAGGTTGACAATATAGCATCACAAGGAATGCAACAGGTCAGCAAGAAAAAAAAAAAAAAAAAAGAGGGACTATGGGGACACCAGTGGACTAATGCTGAAGTGACAAAACTATTGTTTCCAGCAATTCCACGATTGTTTCCAACATTTTCCTTTTGTAAATAAATGTTCTTCATGTACTTGAGTAAACACTCTTCATGTAGTTATATACCTTTTGCATGGAGGTCACAAGGATATTTTTTGTCCCTCTTGAAGCTAATAATAAAAAAACTAATAATAGTAGCATACTTCTATCTATAGTTTCCAGACTATTAACATGTCATACCATTGGCACCAGGGCTGTCATTTTCAGTCCTTTCAGATTGAAGAGATCACTTTCCTCGTTCGCACTTTTCTTACACATTATAAAGTGAACTTTAAATACAAGATTTTATTTTCATTTGATCCAAGTACAAACTAGGTTTTAATTTAAAGCAATATACAAGATTACCATTCGAGATTCCAAGATATTATTCTTCTCTCATTTACATTTAATTAAATTATTTTTCAGAGGCTGAAATTGGTGCTGCAGTGCTTGTTATCAAAGCAGAAGAGACCAAACAACAAATCAGCAGACTTAATAATGAGGTAATGAGCTTCTGTGGAAGTTGGAGCTTACTAACAATAATTCAAGAAATGCTGGAGAAAACTAAGCAAATATGGGAATATGATTAATGTGCAATACACGAGTTTGAAAAATTGGATGGGGTTCCTAAATTTAGGGCAGCTAAATTTTAGCTCTTCCAGTGGTTAATTTTCAAAATTAAAGAACTATAAAAGTTTGTGTAGAAGCTGGAAGCTAAAATCAAAGTGTGGTTTAGTATAGCTAGATTTTGAATTTCATTAGGATTTCTTCTCTTCTACATGTGCTTTCTGTTTCTCTCTTTCCTCTCAATCCTTCCTCAAGCACCTTATTCCAACTTTTCTTTTTGGGGAGTAACGCTATGCTTTTGGAGATTTTCCTTGAAATAAATGAAATCTAGTCATTTTCAAATCACTCTACATGAATCTAGTAAGAAATAGACAGAAGTACTTCCATTCATGCTCAAGAATAGACCTGAGGAATACGGGGCCAATATTGCTCAGTTGTGCTTTCCATTCATCCCTCCAAAGAGTTTCAAACATAATCTACCATCAGTCTGACACTAAAGAGATGTTCTCTGTCTAAACTCTTTATTTCCAGCCACTGCAATGTTTCAGTCAACAAGATGAAAGCTTCAGACTTTAACTGCACAATTGTATTGTAAGACTAAAATCTGTTTGCTATATACTCTGTCTTTCAATACACAAAGATATTAGAGAAAATTTCTTAAGAGCCCTCTAGAGGAAACATTTAAATTAAAGTCAAACCATACAGCTTTGTTTCTTTTTCCTAATCTTTTTTGTTACCAGAAATATCAATTTTTATTTTATTTTCCTTTCCATCTTGTGCAGGCTTAATCTAATTATTCTTTATTTCTATATATGAATTATTGGGCTTGTAAACCTCTTTTATCCTGGGTCAAGTTAACTTGGTAAGATAATTTACATGTACTGAGCTAAGAGTACAGGCACAGCTAGTTATTTACGATGAATACATCACCTTGGTTGTATGTCAAACTGTGGAGTTCAGAACAAAGCACCATGCCCCATTTACTACAGATTATTAGCAAAGCTTGATCAAAGAACTCAAAGAGCATAAGGAGTGATTCTAAACTTGGTATGGATTTAGATGTCACAGGTAACATCCTGGGAGCAAATCCCATAGAGACAGACAATTAGCCTCCAAGTCATCCCATAGATCAAAATTCATGTATATATTGAAAATCTGCATCTCTAGAAGACTGCTTAATTGCATATTCTACATGGATATATATTCGTGTACTCAAACATGCCCCACATAGAGTGCATCTGAACTGACAGTACTAAGTGACTTGGCCCTTACCCAAATAGCCCATGAGTAGCTTTGCTGGAATATACTAGCTGTCTTTTTGTTGTTGTTGCTACAGAAAGTATTGAACAGTACCTGTAGACCCTATGCTTCTTTTTTTTCCCATCAGTTGGTGGTGATCATTAATGGAAGAATATGACCAATGTAGCAGCAGACTCTTTGCAGTAGTCAAAATACAGGCAGAGTTTGAAATTGAGCTTCTTTGGAAAATATGCAGGACTCCTTCTAAAAAGGAAAATATTGAGAAAGCAGGTCACAAGTGGCCAACAGCAGCAAACATTGTCATAAATACATTTTCCAGTGGAAATCAGAAGTCAGTCAACAAATGCAAAAATACCTGCTTTCATGAAAGGCAATTGTATTAAAACAGTTCACTAGCTAGCTTAAAAACATTTCAGCTGTTTGTTGGGAGAATAAAGACATATATCTTCCCATTCAGACTTTCAAGACAGGCTGTTAGCAGAGCTGCCTCACAAACAAAAGAAGGCAAACCCAGCTCCACATCCAGTGGAACTCATGGCAACATTTTAGGTATATAATATTCACTACATAATGCAAAAGAAATTCCTTCTACCTAAGAATGGGGCTAACAGAAGGCAGAACCTTGATTTCACTTCTCAGAGTTTGTTACATAATATCTTTAGGACTAACACATACAAACTTCCTTGCTAGGCATTGAGAGACAGACTTCCACATGCTCCAGATTCCTATTCTAAAGCTCCACAGATTAGCTGCCTAGCCACTTACCCAGCTTCTTCATTCCCTCATCTAACCTCATTTCTCATTTTGAGCCTGACTGATAACTAAACTAATAGAAAGGACTTTCTATCTGGTTCAGCATTGTAAAGTGAACTGGAATAGGACTATTAGACTTCCCTATTACAAATTCCCTAATAGAAAACTCCTACTTACCTGTAGAAGCTGTTCTACTTAGTCTAAATAAACATTGAATTAATAATAATCTTCAATCATAGTTCAATATGTGGCAGGTGAGACAGTTTAGGTACAGATTCTTGCTCATGTAGAAATTCAATTGTTTAATCAATAGTTTCAGAATTCAGTGACTGAACACACAACAGAATGGTACACTTTCTTACATGGAGAAAGCTCAATTCAAAAACCTACTCCAGATTATGCCGATTGAGAGTTTAGGAATAGTCTTGTGCTGGACAAGCATGCATCCTTCATTTGTGGAGATGTGTACACCCAACCTGGCCTTTCCAATGCATTTCTCTGCAAAGCCTGTGTGTATCTAAACACTTGCCATTTCCCTGTTACAATCATATTTAAACATGGAATTAAACTAAAGAACCCAGGAGAAAAAATAGGAAACAACTAAATAAATATTTTCAGTTATACAGATGGCCTTAAATCTAGACTGGGGCACCTGCCGGCCACTGTCTCATTATCTGTGTCCTACTACATATTTACATGTAGTTCTCTATCATTTGATTGCAACTATACAGAAAGAGCATGGAAATATTTCCATTTTAAATCTTCAACTTGAGGGAGGGAGAGTAGAAGGAAGGAAGGAAGGAAGGAAGGAAGGAAGGAAGGAAGGAAGGAAGGAGGAGGAAGGAAGGAAGGAAGGAAGGAAGGAAGGAAGGAAGGAAGGAAGGAAGGAAGGAAGGAAGGAAGGAACAACAAAAAAACAAATCTGAATTATTTGAAACACGGAGAAGCTAAAAATAAGAAAATACACAAATTTTAGTCATATTTTTTCTCTCACGACTTGCAGTGGACACGTGCATGTTCTCTATTCAATAATACAGGGACATTTTTTCATACTTGGACATACAGGATACAGCTAGCACAATTCATACAGACAAACTCGGATGTCACATCCCCTGTTCTTCCTATCCAACTCATCTCTTATTCAGTCTCTTACAGCTGCCTTAGTTAAAGCAGTGCTAAGTATAATGGTCAGAAGCAGACCTACAGCGTTGTGGTTAGCAGGCCAACAGACCACAGCTTGCTGTCAGCACAGAGTGCAGAGCGCATAAATATGGCTTTGCATTTGGCCATGTAGAGATGCTGTCAAATGCCCAATATTATTCAGAAACCTGGATTTGTATGTATAAACAAGACGTACAAAGAATGAGGCTAGGTTGACCCCTTGCTTAAAGCAGGCATTTGAAATTGATTTGAAATTTTGCTACATCAGTAGATTCCACAATTACAGTACTATATTGGCATAATGAACAGAGTATTCACATCACTCCCATTCAACTGAAAAACAAATAAACACAAGGAAATATAAATTGGGTCAGGTTTTATACTAGAAAATTGCCTTCTATGTAGCTGAATTTTGGAATACTTAGTGGAAATTCAGCTATTTTTAATTTTAGGGTTTTTTTTTTAGTTGCAAGTGCTTAAAATATTCTAAGTGTTCAACCCTTGTTCAGATCAGTGAAAATGTATTCATATGGATATTTCACTTTCATCTAACAAAAAGGACAATCCTGACTAAATGATTATTTTTTCAGATCACCTAGAGAAATTTTATAAATAGAATATTATAAAATGTATGTTGCAACCAACTTCTAAAAATCAAACTCATTCTCTTCTCGGGAAAGGCAGGAAAAAAACATATTCATTTGCAAAACATCCTTCAATAAAAACAGACGTGGCAAAATGTGAACTAATAACATTTACTGATGATGAAAACTAATTATGTTCAATCTACCCATTTTTTATTTTAGCTATGTCCATTTATCACAAAAGACAACATATAAAGCCTAGAATTATTTGTGTTAAGAAATAAAAGCTTTCTAAATCACAAACACAAATTAAACACACTTTTTAGTCTGTTGATATTTGTTCAGGTATTTTTTCCTTTAATCATAAATATTCATATTTCTTAAGAACTACTACGTTGTTGTTTTCTATACCTCTTGCTCTTGTACTTTAGTGGGTTTGAGTACTCTTTCTTTGTTTCTTTTAGTTTTAGCTTAAAAGCTTAAAAAAAAAAAAAAGTTAAAAAAAAAAAAAAAAGCAGGACATAAGGTATCCATAAAGTGTCTAAAGGACGTAAGGCTTATGCATTGTAGAATCTCTTTTACATTTTTCCTTAGTGGAAATGAACCTGAGACATCAACAGTGAAAGAAAAGAGGTATAAAAATTAACTGAGGGCCAGAAGCTGATTTGAACAATAACAAAAATATTACTACTATGATTGGAGATAACCATTATAGTGTTAACTTTAATGGGCATTTCAAAACCTTCCTGTATCAGAAAGATCTATTTTCCTAACATCTAATTATAAACCTCTGTTGACATACAACATTATCATTTTCCAGAAGATATAAGAAAAAATTGACTGACATTCTTTGTCTAAAACTAATTTACACTGGAAACATATTGTTCCAGCCAATCTCAACAAATGCAATTCCTTCAGACTTTCATAGCTTGTCACATTTTCTAAGATTCCTTATTAGTAGGATTTTCATTTGAATTGTCTTTGGTTAGATCTTTTAAGGCTCTTACAAAGTGTTTGATCCTAAACTGCACCAGCCTAAGTAATTCCCAGTAAAGATAGCCCCCTGTCCTGAATAATAATAAAAAAAATGCTGATTATATATCCTGGGAGCATGATTAAAGCATGCAGCGTGTAATTCAATGAAACTCCACAGACCCTTTCCTGTAATATTCTGCCTAGGTAGAATTTATACTCAAGGTTTTGACGTTTTCTTTTCAGCTGTGATGTTTAACATTTACTTTTGTTGAATTTCATATTACTAATATTTAACAGTGAATGTGAACTCCATTTAGCCATTAAAAATAAATATAAAATAAAAACAGGTTGGGATAGAGAGCTAAAAAGTTTATCTTGAAATGTCCTACCAGGACAACAGTATGTTTACTGATCATAAACCATTCTGGTCATGCATTAATATAACTTATAGTGATTGTATGCTGGTCATATTTTCTTAGTTGGTTTAGAAGAATGTCATGATTACATTCTTCAGTGTAACTTCTGAGTCATCTTCTGACAAGGTATATATTACTTTACAATTGTAGAGAATTAGATCATTTTACCTGTTTCACCATGTATTATTCTTGAGAAATTTATGGCTGTCTGTTCTCTTTTGACTATTTCTTTAGGAGCTTATAGAAATTGCTTAGCATGTTTTCCTGATAACATATGTAACACCTCAATTGTTCTTTCAAAAGTAGACATTAACTGCTTCTCTTCTCCCAGTCAACTGGGATCTCCATGATCCTCCATTTGGTCTCAAAGTCCATAACTAGTCGAACAGAATTTGCATTTGATAGTTTCTGAAGTTCTTGAAGCAGTAATTTCCAAAGCTAGTTTTCTTTGTGCACCCATCATGACAACACAGTACTGATTCTATGCCATCCACATCCAACTACATGTACAGAGAGCCATGAATTATTCAACATGCAGCCTGGGACCCCTTTTCTAGACTGAATTTTATAGGGGTGCTGTTGACTTGAATACACTTAAATTATCAAGTCTTTTATACTTTCCTGTTTTGTTCTTAAGTTATTTAATAGTAATATCAACAGTCTTAGTGTCTTAATTTACTCAGACAGACTGTTTACCCCAGAACTAGAGGAGTCTGTCTAGCAAGTAGGCAGAGAAACCAGCAAATTTTTTTATACTTAAGGAAATTTCAAAAGTTTCCAGATTTATTTCACTGAAACTGACTCTTCTTCTCATCACACAATTCCCATCTATTTAATCTGAACTAAGACTAGATACATTGCATTGTTTTTCTTCTGCAGCTAACTTAATTCCCAAAGTGCCATTAGGTCAGAAATGTCTGTCACCATTGCTATTATGGTGGCATAGAAGCTGATGGATGATCAGTGAAAATTCTGCCTCAGCTCCATTTTCATCTCACTCATTCAGCAATGCACTTACTGGAAAACATACTATTTTAAAAACAGGCAGTTAATTTGGGCCTCAAAGACAACTCATTATGATTGAATGTCTCATCAACTTTAAGAAGCACCAGAATAAAAGCATCAATGAAATACTAAACAGAATAGCAAAGCTACATTGACAGTACAAGCATCCAGCTTCTCCACAGTGCCAAAATGCAACTTCGATTTCCCAAGAAGCAAGTTTTCTTCACTTCTTGAGTGTTCAAAAAAAGTCATGGCAGGAAGATATCTGGGTGAAGTTTGAATTGCAAAGAGGAATAAACCACAGAGATTATAAATTGCAAAGTATTCTACTAGGTTTCTAATCAGAAAA